AAAAAAAAAAAAAAAAAAAGATATATCATGTTTATGTAAGATATTTATTATTTAAATGTCTATTATTCCTAAATAGGAATTTATTCTTTAAATGTCTATTATTTCCACAGATTCCATGTAATTCCAATAAAAATTTTAGCATGCATTTTCTAGAAATGGACAAGTTGATTCTATGCAAAGAACTTAACCAATCTTGGAGAGAACAAAGCTGGAGGATTTACAATATTAGATGTCAAGAGTTAATTAAGACAGAGTAATAACGGCACCTGGATAGACAGATAGGCCAATAAGATAGAGTTCAGAAACAGACCCACGAATGTACAGTAACCTAACTTATGACAAAAGCATCACTACAATCTAGTACAGAACGGATGGTCTTTTCAACAAACAATACTAGGTCAACTGGACATCAGTATAAAAACAAATGACGTGATCTCACACCACTTATAAAAATTATTCAAGATGGATAATGGAAAAACAATAGAGCTTCTAGAAGAAAACACAGAATTATTTTATGAATTGGGAGTAGGCAAAGGTTCTCCAAGTATAACATAAAAGCATTAATCTTTTTTAAAAAAGACTTCATTAAAAGAAAAAAACTTCTATTCAACAAACAACTCCATTAAGAGTAAAGCCACATACTAGAGCAAGATGTTTTACATATGCAAACATACATATACACATATGTCATATATATAGTCACTCATATGTATATAAATAACCAAAGCTCATATGCAGATGTAAACAATTCCTGCACCTAGTTTTAAAAATGGACAAAAGACTGGAACAAACACTTAACAATAGAAAATATAAAAATGATTGGTAAATATATGAAAAAGGACTGAAAATCACTCATCAGGGAGATGCCAATTTAAACCATATAGAGATGCCACCACAGAATAGCTGGAATTTATAGGGCTGACAATCCCAAGTGATGAGATTTAATCATGGCTGGAATTTAAAGGGCTGACAATCCCAAGTGATGAGATTTAATCATGGCTGGAATTTAAAGGACTGACAATCCCAAGCATAAGTATTATGGATTTGTGTCCCCCCAAAAACCTATGTTGAGGTCCTAATCCCCAACACCTCAGAGTGTGACTTTATTTGAAACTAGGGTCTTGATGGAGGTAATCAAGTTATAATGAAATAATTACAGCAGGCCTTAATGAAACATAACTCATGTTCTTATAAAAAGGGGAAATTTGTACATAGAGATAGACATACACAGGAAAAACTGTATGAAGAGACACAGGGAGAATATCGAGTGAAAGTAGAAGATTTGGAGTGATAGATTCACGAGCCAAGAAAACCAAAAGTTGCTGGCAAACCACCCGAAGCTTGGAGAGAGGTATAGAACAGATTCTCCCCCACCAAGTCCTCAGAAAGAACCAACTTGCCTGACACTTTGATTTTGGATTTCTAGCCTCTAGAAGTGTAAGACAATAAATAACCAGTTTTAAGCCAATCAGTTTGTGGTACTTTTTTACAAGAGCCCTAAGAAACTAACACAATGGGGAACAATAGAGATTCTCATACATTAATGGTAAGAGTGTAAATTGATCAAACCATTCTGAAAAACTGACAGGATCTAATAAAACTAACATGCATATAACCTATGGCCTAGCAGTTCCACAACTGCGTATATAACCAACAGAAATAAGCACTTATATCTATCAAAAAACATACACAATGTTCACAGTAGTATTATTTATGGTATCCCAAAAACAGAAACAACTCAAATATCTATTAACAGTAGAAGGGATAAACTGTGGTATAATCATTTTAAAGAAATATTAAAAAGCAATGGAATAGAATACACTACTGCTACATGTAACAACACTGATAATCTTAGACATCATGAGTTTAAAAAAAAAAGGCAAATGCAAAAGAATCCATACTGTAACACTCTATTTATATGGAATTCACAAACCAAACTAACATATGGCAATAAAGATTCAACTTTGGAGAATAAGTATTTCCTGGGGTGAGGGGCACATGGGGGAACTTGCTGAAATGCTACAAATGTTCTCTATCTTAATCTGAGTAGTACATATATTTATACATCTGCAAAAACTTTTCAAGATGTTCAGTTAAGATTTACATACTTTACTTATATAAATTATATCTCAATAAATGACCAAAAAAAAAAAAAAAAACAATCATTTCCTCTGGAAGTTAAATTGATGCATGACAGGGATAAAACCAGAGGTGGTTGTCTTTTATTTCAAGTCCTTTGATTCTATTTGAATTTAATACATACATGTTCATTAATTAACTTGATATAAAATAAATAATTCATCAAAAGAGAAAGTAAATATGTATTGTATAATTTTAAAAATCTAAGTGTTAAACTAATTTCCCACATTTAAACTAGAAAGGAGAGTACAGAAAGCTCAGGAAAATACCAGTAGCAGTGACAAGACGATTCCTTGAGATTTCAAGTTAGTGGGTACCTTCCAGAGCCCTCTTATCTGGCCACTTCACTGACACTACTATATACTATGTTATTCAAACGTGTGCTCTCCAACATCTTAGCTTGTAGAGAATATGGATCCTACCGATTCTTTAGCTTCATTAGGCCGAGTTCATGCTTCTCTTTTTCCCAAGCTAATTCCTTTTCTACTTGTTGAATTTTGAAAGCTGTTTTTCTGTTTATCTCATCGCGGATTCTGGAATCTACATCAAAATCCTGCAGATAAGAAGATCCGTTCATCAAAATGGGTACTTTATCAACTCTGTTTCATACAGATTTCAGTTTTGTTCCCAGTTTCATGATGCATCATAACTCTTCCCCAAATGTCATACACTCTCTCCATTATAGAAGAAAAATAGCATATTGTTAATGTTACTTCCACAATATAAGGAGAAATGTTCTTCTCAGTTAACAATAATGCAAATAAAGTTACACGTTTTAAGATTTTTTTCCCACAATAAAAATAATGAATGCTATCAATATTTGGAGAGTATACAGTTTTAAAAACTACTCTCACCATCTCAGAGAAACTGCTATTACATAAAAATCGGACATGAGGTAGATCCTCATGGCAACTGATCAATATCTGAACATCCCCCCCTGGTGTGACCCCACCCATGAAAGATGGCAGTCTCTGGTGTCTTCTTGACATCACCAAGTTTTTGTTGAATCTCCTTCATAAAGGGCTCCACACTAGAATAAATTAAAAGATGCCCAAAATAAATGGCTGTTGAAATTTTGAAACAAACAAACAAAAAGAAAGATGATTTTAAGTGTTTCTACTTGTTGGAAAAATAGTCATCTCTATCCAGAAATAGCATATGTCAAAATAAATATCAAGTTTATATTAGGCTTACCGTTCGTTTAAACTGCATATGCTTTGGTAATTCTTCATTCATTTTTAATAGTTTACAAAATTCATTCCTCAAAGCTTTGATTTGCTCTCTCTTCCTTGCCTTTATTTCTTCCACTTCTTTCATTAATTTGTCATGTTCTCTTTTTCTCCTAGCATTCTCAATACTGAAAACGGAAATTTAAAACGGTAAGAGGTTATAACATAGAAACAGCAAAGAAAGAGAAAATTAATATTCAATAATTTGAAAATTCATTAAGCTAGGCCAACTTCTGCACTGTTTGTTTTGCAAAATCTCAGGCCTAGTCAGTATTTATCAAAAAGTTCCATACCTGTAGGCTTTGGGATCTTCAATGTCTTCTGGAATTGGCTCTGTTTCAATTCCAAACTATAAGAAGGGAAGTAAAAGGTTAGCCCTTTAAAACTGCATAGCATTTCCCTAAAATATCTAGGAAGAAGTAAATTAAAAGCACAAATTGGTTGGGTTTTTTTCCTGCCAGTTTCTAATAACTATAGGTCTGAAAAGTAGTTTCACAAAAAAAAAACTAAGAAAAAATTGCAGTTTACTAAACTTACTCATTTCTGATTTGAAGGAGTATGTAGGAAAAGTCTTAACCTAATCACACGTCTGCAAAATGTTAAAATCCCCATAATTTCCCCTCAAAATGTAAATTACTAATGTTCAATGCTATTAACACAGAATTCTCAAAAACAGTCTAGATCATTTAATTCAAAATGCTGTTTTTCAGTATGTCCCTTTATCACATGTATCATTCATCCAAATACCTCACTGTGCCCTAGAAATATTTCAACATATATATTTTTTTAATTTTAAATAAGCATTTTATATCACCTTCTCAAAGGAAGACACAAAGTAGAAAATGCAAAGAACAATATAATCACCCTCCTTGAAAGAGAAAGATATGAAATCAGAAATACAAATCTCCCTTCAGAAAGGAAATCAGTCTAAATTTGAGGGAACTAGGAAGTAAATCACTTAAAAGTACTCTGTTCATTCAGGTGCTGGGCTGTAAAATGTCTTTGTCCATGATGTTAAAGAAGAATTATAACCCAGGGAACAAAATAGCCTTAGTTGGCTAACTAGTACGTTCATAAATAAAATTAAACTTTATTCTCTTTTTCAGAGAAGACAGGTCTCTATTTTGCTGTCATTTGTTGTAAATAAATATTCTTGATAAAGTTGTTTTTGATAAAGATATGAAATGTAAATCTACGTATTTTTATGAAAGTCAAGGTTTATGACTTTAATAAAAGCAAAGTCAGAAAACATGATCAATATGAGACAATAATGGCTAATAAATTGTACTGACTATTAATCACTTAGGATACAAATTTCCTGAATTTTATTTATTTTTATTCTTTTATTGGCCAGAGCTAAGTCCCCTGGTTCTCTAATATCAGTATGACTTCTAGGATTTGATGCTGATACTGGGACAATTGTCTCCTGGCCACAGTTGTTTCCAAGAAGGTTGTTACACAAAGTTCCAAAATACATGCCAGTGGATCTCAATCCTAGCTGCACATTAGAATCACATGAAGGATAGTTTACAAAATACTGACGCCTGGACCTCACCTTCAGATATTCTAATTTAATTGTTCTTGGGTAGGCTCCGGCAACTGTACTTCTAGGGCTCCCCAGCTGATTCCAAAGTACAGCAAGGTAAGAACCTCAGACCAGTGCAGAGCTTAGTTGTTTTTTAAAAAATTCTTTCTAATTTTTCCTGTTTTTTTTTTTTTTTTTTTTTTTTTTTTTTTTTTTTTTTTTTTCTTTTGAGATGGAGTCTCTCTCTGTCACCCAGGCTGGATGGAGTGCAGTGGCACAATTTCGGCTCACTCCAACTTCCACCTTCCGGGTTCAAGCAATTCTCCTGCCTTGGCCTCCAGAGTAGCTGGGACTACAGGTGCGTGCCACCATGCCCGGCTAATTTTTTGTATTCTTAGTAGAGATGAGGTTTCATCATGTTACCCAGGATGGTCTCAATCTAACCTCATGATCCTCCTGCCTTTGCCTCCCACAGTGCTGGGACCACAGGCATGAGACACTTGTCCCAGCCTAATTTTTCCTTCTTAAAAGGAATGTCTGCTTCAGTGATTTCAGAAATATTGATTGCAGCCATAAATAAAAGAACATGATTATTCAAATGTGGAATAGTATTTTTCTACCCAATATGGGTTTCTACAGAGAGAGCTGGCACAAAGTAGAAACACATTTTCTTCTTGTTTATATACTTTCTTTCCTGTAATTCCTTTTTCCTCTCTAAACAGCAGCCCATACTCCAAATTTTGCTATTAGGAGAAATGAAAATTGACCTACTCATATCTTCCCTACATTCTTTATGTGTTCTTTGAAGTAGGCTACTGGCTAAACGGGAAGCCAATATGTTCATAGGAATTTTAGTTGTAATCTTTTTAATACAACTCCTTTCTCCTTAGGAGCAATTCTAATGGTTATTAACTACTGATTTTATCTGAAGGAACTGCCTTAATAATATACGAAATTCAAGTAATATGACCAGAAAAGGACATAATTTGGGGATCTGAACCCCCAAACTTCATCACAAAGCCAACAATCTAGTTCTGCTTTTAAAAAAATACTTTATACTCAATCATGACCCACATTGTCACATTCTAATACTAAAGAAAGATATTTTTGCAACCCCTGTCAAAAGCACACTTCATGGCATACATCCTATATTAGCCCTTACATTGAGTCAATGAATAAATGGAAAGCAAAATACAATCTGAAAAAACTGTGAACTTTGCAAAAAAAACTTTAAAAAAAGGTTTTTTTTTAATACAAACTTTTGACTACATAGAAAAATGGACACACGCTTTTCTAATTTGGGGAATTCCAATCTTTAATAATAAGGGAAATGTAATACCTTTAATATTTTATATAGGAGCACCAGAAAGTCAAATTATAATACTAGCAGAAAGATTAGACTATAATCGCTATAAGGTGAATGTGTCTAAATAAATTTAAATTTATAAAGAATATGAACCATTTTGATATTAGCATTTTGAATAAAGTTTGTTATTACTTAACTGGTTAATTAATTACATACCCTGGGAGATGGCACCTTGGCCTTGATGTCTTTCCTTAGCATAAATTCAGAAAAAATGTTGAAAACAAAGATATTACCATCTCCTCCAGTAGTCACCAAGAAACGATCATCAAAGCTACTAGCAATACTTTTAATACATCCATAATTATTGTCATGCATATTGAAGTGCCAATAGTTCACCAAACTGGTCAATGAAGGATCATTCTCATCTAGGACATAGACTCGAATTGCTCCATTTTTCATTCCACAAAACATCATAATTTTGTTAATGCTATGAAACAAAAAATGTAAATTATTCTTCCCATTAATCTGAAAATAATGCTTAATTTCAAGTCAATTAACAAATAGCTAAATTAATAACAAACTTGTTATGGACTGAGTTGTACAGCCCCAAAATTAATATATTGAAGCCGTAACCCCTAATACATCGGGATGTAACTGCATTGAGATAGGGCGTTTAAAGAGGTAATTAAGTTAAAATGAGAATACTAGGGTAGGTTCTAATCCAGTCCGCCTGGTGTCCTGATAAGGAGAGATTAGGACACACAGACAGACATCAGGTTAGCACACACCCAGAGAAAAGACTGTGCAAGAAGGCAGTCATCTGTAAGTCAAGGAGAGAGGCCTCAAGAGAAACCAACCTGCTGACATCTTGATCTTGGAACTTTAGCCTCCGGAACTGTGAGAAAAAAAAATTTCTGCTGTTTAAGCGACCTAGTCTGTGATGTCTTATTGTGGCAGCCCTAACATACTAATACAAAAGAATAGAGAAATATAATTTCAGGATTAGCTTTGATCCTATTTATTCATTTGATTTATTTAACCAAATATTTTTTGAATACTCCTTCATTTGGATGGATCTCTAAAAACTGACAATATCCATGATGGACAAAAGCATAGACACCAATGGGATATGGTTTTTTAAAGCTCTTTGAAATACCACTCACTTGAAAGTGATAGTTTGGATGGGATTATCATCTGTATTCTCAAGATAATGGACATCAAAAGGTTCATCTTTTTGTTCTTCGAAATTATTGCTTTTATCACAAGGGGGGAACTCACAGTGATACAGAAAACCAGAATCATAGTCACCCTGGAAAAGAGATAAGTAACATAGAAAGTGGTACTTGAATATAACACACATAAATGCATGAGAATTTTTTGATTATTTCAAATTCGAAAATAAAAAATAGATGTTTTCAAACATGTATTTCTACATAATTTCTATTATAGATTTATTTCTATAAATCATCTCCTTTATCCATTTATACACAACTATATAATTATAATAATAAAAACCATATGATGATTTGTTTCCTCTTAAAAATCATTATAAGAGAGAGATCAGCTCTGACTCCCTACAGAATTTCATTTTATTTCTTCAAGCATTATTATGCGGAATGCATAAGCAGTAACAAATAATAGGGTTTTGCAGTTCCTTGTTTTTACAGCTAGTTTTCAGTCTAAGGAAACTGTAAACACTGTTAATTTTCCAGGAAGGGCTATTTCTGAAAAATTTATCCACGTAGTGAGAAGACAAATGACCAACTGGAAGAGCTATACTGCTCCAACTCTAATGTCCTTATTACTGAGATTCCTTATTACAGGAAACAAATTGAAGGTCAGAACAACTTTATGAACAATAAATAAATAAATAATAAAGAGAAGGTAACAATATGATCACCTCTGAAAATCAAATTACTAAAGTTTTCACTTTTGACAATGTCACACTAGATTGTTTCAGCTAAGCTCTCCCACTGAGAACAACCAGAACAAATTTTCTTTTTCACCTTGGGTATTTTTATTGTCCAGTCACTTCACAATCTAATGGTTCAGGATTAATGACCAGTTTAAATATATAACCATCAACAGAGAGTTTGCAGAGGGTTAATCCCATTTTCAATTTTGTTTATATAAAATTTTAAGCTTTTTTTAATGCAAGGCAATAAACAAAGTAACATTTTGGGTTACTAAGAGCATTATCTGCTATAATATGAATAAATAACTAGATTTGTAATATTGATATATCATGGTAGTTACAAATAATACATTTTCTAGACAGCATAAAGACATTTATCCTATCCAAATAACCAATTTTAACCATGTATTTACTGATTCAAATTTTGAATCATACAGTTCTAATATTGATATATATTCATGTAAAAATTCTTTAAAAAGCACATATTATAACAACTAAAATTTTTTTTTTATATTATACTTTAAGTTCTGGGGTACATGTGCAGATCATGCAGGATTGTTACATAGGTATACACATGCCATGGTGTTTGCTGCATCCATACCCCCATCACCTATATTAGGTATTTCTTCTGTTATCCCTCCCCTAGGCCCCTCACCCCGCAACAGGCCCTGGTGTGTGACGTTCCCCTCCCTGTGTCCATGTGTTCTCATTGTTGAACACCCAGTTGTAAGTGATAACATGTGGTGTTTGATTTTCTGTTCTTGTGTCAGTTTGCTGAGAATGATGGTTTTCAGCTTCCTCTATGTCCCTGCAAAGGACATGAACTCATTCTTTTTTATGGCTGCATAGTATTCCATGGTGTATATGTGTCACATTTTCTTTATCCAGTCTATTGTTGATGGGCATCTGGGTAGGTTCCAAGTCTTTGCTATTGTGAACAGTGCCACAATGAACAGACATGTGCATGTGCCTTTATAATAGAACGATTTATAATCCTTTGGGTATATACCAAAGAATCGCTGGGTAAAATGGTATTTCTATTTCTAGATCCTTGACGAATCTCCACGCTGTATTCCACAATGGTTGAACTAATTTATACTCTCATCAACAGTGTAGAAGTGTTCCTAATTCTCCACATCCTCTCCGGCATCTTTTGTCTCCCGATTTTTTAATGATTGCCATTCTAACTGGCATGAGACTGTATCTCAATGTGGTTTTGATTTGCATTTCTCTAATGACAAGTGATGATGAGCATTTTTTCATATGTTTGTTGGCTGCATAAATGTCTTCATTTGAAAACATTCCATGCTCATGGTTAGGAAGAATCAACATCATGAAAATGGCCATACTGCCTAAAGTAATTTATAAATTACATGCTATCCCCATCAAGCTACCATTGACCTTCTTCACAGAACTGGAAAAACCACCTTAAACTTCATAATGGACCAAAAAAGAGCCCTCATAGCCAAGACAATCCTAAGCAAAAAAAAAAAAAAAAGCAAAGCTGGAGGCATCACGATACCTGACTTCAAACTATACTACAAGGCTAAAGTAATTAATACAGCATGGTACTGGCAGCAAAACAGAGATATAGACCAATGGATCAGAACAGAGGCCTCAGAAGTAACATCACACATCTCCCACCATCTCATCTTTGACAAACCTGACAAAAACAAGCAATGGGGAAAGGAGTCCCTGTTTAATAAATGGTGTTGGGAAAACTGGCTAGCCATGTGCAGAAAGCTAAAACTGGACCCCTTCCTTACATGTTATACAAAAATTAACCCCAGATGGATTAAAGATTTAAACTTAACACCATAGACCTAACACCATAAAAACCCTAGAAGAAAACCTAGTCAATACCATTCAGAACATAGGCATAGGCAAGGACTCCATGACTATAACACCAAAAGCAATGGCAACAGAAGCCAAAATAGACAAATGGGATCTAATTAAACTTAAGAGCTTTTGCACAGCAAAAGAAACAATCATTAGAGTGAATCGGCAACCAACAGAATGAGAAAAAATTTTTGCAATCTACCTGACAAAGAGCTAATATCCAGAATCTACAAAGAACTTAAACAAATTTACAAAAAAAAAAACAACCCCATCAAAAAGTGGACAATGGATATGAACAGAACAAAGTTTCTAAATGGAAAGCTATCAAAATAGCAAGATCCAAAAACGAAGGAAAGCCAGAAGTGAGCTTGGCATTTGACACTGCTTTACTCCCTGGAGCAACTGTCAGTTCTTAAAGTGGCAGCTGAGAGGCTACAAAGCTGGACGGAGCTATCTGCAGTCTCATGGACCTACGTAGAAAGAAATAATCATCCCCTGGGTTCAAGCAGGGTCTCAAAGAGATACTTGAACACCTACCTCATTCATAGGAGCATTTTTCACAATAGCCAAAAAGTAGGAGCAATCCAGTGTCTTCTTTTTTTTTTTTTTTTTTTTAGATGGGGGCTCACTCTGTCACCCAGACTGGAATGCAGTGGTGTGATCTGGACTCACTGCAATTTCCACCTCTGAAGTTCAAGTGATTCTCCTGTCTTCTCAGCTTTCTGAGTAGCTGGGATTGCAGGTTAGAGACAGGGTTTCACCATGTTGGCCAGGCTGGTCCCGAATTCCTGGCCTCAAGTGACCCACTCACCTTGGAAATCGCTAAGTGCTAAGATTACAGGCATGAGCTACCAAGCCTGGCCCCAAGTGTCTATTGGTGACTGAGTATATAAGCAAAATATGGTACACACCTAAAATGGAGTATTATTCAGCCTTGAAAAGAAAGGAAATTCTGACATATGCTGCATCATGGATGAAACTTGGGGAAATTATCCCAAGTGAAACAAGTCAGTCAAAAAGAGATAGATATTATATAATTTCACTTATTTGAGGTACTTACAGTAGTCAAAATCAGAGAAAGAAACTAGAGTGATGGTTGCCAGGGGCTGGGTAAAGGGAAGAATCAGGAGTTCTCATCTGATGATTATGGGAGTTTCTGTGTTACAGGATGAGGGTGATGGTGGAGACAGATATTAGTGATGACTTCACAACATTGTGAATATGTTTACTGCTACTGAGCTGTACACTTAAAAATGGTTAAGATGGTAAAATTTATGTTATATATCTTTTACTTCAATAAAAAACAATTGGAAATACAAAGTTTAAAATAAAAGACAGTTATGAAGCTGGACAGAGATCTGAAAAAATAAGTTAAAGCATGGAGAGAGACAAAAAGGATGGAAAATTCTTTTGATGATGTAAGATACATAAGGAACATAATGAAAAGGATGTAATACACATAAAGTTGGGATCCCAGAATGAGAGTGTGAAAAGATAGGCCAGAAGCAACATTGTGGTAGACAATGGCTAAGAATTTTCCAAAACTGAAGAGATATGTTGAAATTTAGAGTGCTACGACCTGCTAACAAAACAAAAATCTTAAAGTAAGACACATTAACTAGATCCAAAAGTAGTAATTAAGATACAATAAATAGATACATTAGCCTTCAAAAAAAGAAGAAAAACATGACATTGCTGGCTAAATGAAAGAAGATGATAAAACGATATCGTAAAAGTTTTGGAAAAATATTTAGCAAAAATAAAAGCAAAAGAAACACACTTTAAAACAAAGCAAAACAAAGCCCAAAAAGCCAAAGGCAGAGAATTAGTCACCAGCAAGCCTCCACTTAAAAAAAAAAAATTATTAGTCTATTGTTTAGGCAAAAGGTACAAATTACAAAGATGTAGAAAGTAATTAAGAGTAAGGGAAAGGCAAAAAGGTATTACTCTGGCTTCCAGTAGGGTCCTCATGAGTGCATCTGGCTCAGCAAATAAAGGTCTCGAAATACCATGTAATACGGGAAACTAGCTTCAGGGCATCTACCAGTTTGCCACCAAGAGGAATGATAGAGGAGGAATTTGATCCTCAATTTGGAACTCTTTGCTGCAGTTTGGCTTGCCAGGAACTTGAGTCCCATTAACCTCATTCAGCCAGGGGTGTAGCCAAGTAGACAAATGGAATCTTGTGCTACTTCTGAACCTTCCAACAACAGAGCCTACAATCTGTGATCACAAGATATACCCTAATGGCAGCTGAAGTTTGATTCAGATGAGCATCTTCCCCATCCCTGACTAGTTTCCTTTTGTTCCTTGAGTTCACTCAGAATTCCCTTCTCTAATCAGCAGACAGGCTAAGTTAAAGTATAGCCTCTGTTCTATAAATTTCTGCACATAGTTCCTAAGCTTTTTCAGAAGATGATCTTTGTTCTTGTCCTGAGGAAGAGCAATAATATTTTAACAAATATTGGAAATAAAG